GTCAACGGAATTGAGTGATTGACAGCTGATATTAACCAATCCATTCGGTTCTGTTCTAGCTTAGTGGGCCAATAAGAAGAGCTTGAAGGCGGAGTAAGCATTGCGGGCTTTGTTTACAGCAGCAAGTTGACATGACAACTGTTTTAAACCATTCCAGAGCACTGCATTTGGTGTTTTTAGGTGCAAAGATGCTTAATGCGTGAAACAAACATATATGACCCGTGTCGTGCAGACACAGTCTCACCCAGTCATTGGGTCTCACAGCTTGGCAGATCTGCCTTGCTTTCGGAAAGCACATGTTCTCATGAATAACTGATATATGAAATAAATGAAATTAGCAGACAAAAGCTTGAAATTATCCAGTTTTTCCCACAATTAAAGCTTACAGATGCTTACGTTGTGTTAATTGATGGAACACACACAAATCTTTTAATATATATATTTTTTTAAAGTACTCCAGGTAGGGCTGTGCAATAAATCGAAAATTCGATTTTGGTTTTTGATTTCGGCTTCTAACGCATACCTGTCAACCCTCCCGTTTTTCCTGGGATTCTCCTGTATTTCACAGTTCTATCCCACTATCATCCCGTAAATGTATTTTCCCGTATTTTCAGTCTTTCTCTGAACAGTCAAACCTCTCTATACGCAACCCATTGTTGGAGGAATCCCTTATTATTAGAGGTGTGAACCTATACTGGTCTCACGGTTCGGTTCGGTTACGATTATCATGCCTTTGATTCGGTTCAATTCGATATCTCGGTGCATCAAGGTGCATTGATGATGCTTTCTATATACAGTGTTATATTTTAGGGGTAGGCTATAACAAGCTGTCTGTATAAACACACAGACACACAGCAACACACTGTCTCTCATTCAAACACATACACAAACATAGGCAGCACCAAACAAACAAACACACACACACACACACACACACACACACACACACTTAAGCCCTCGCAACAGGGAGAGCTTGTGCTGAGCGGAGCAGAAAAACAGAGAAAAAAAAAACGAAAAAAAAGCACTTTTCCGACGGTCCCTTACTGAGAGCTCCTCTCAGCGCGAGCTCTCCCAGCTAAACACATATTGCGAGGGCTTAAATTTGAGCAGTGATCGTAATGTCGAGCGAAAAAAAAAGAAAGACAGCTGTGAAACATAACCAGCTTTGTCTTTTTGTAGGAAACACACTTTAGATCTTTTTAGGTTAAGAGGTTTTTTAGTTATTGCTGTCTATAACTGAATGTGTGTCAAGAATTTTGAAAACAAAACCAACTGAGCTGCGATCATTTCTGGCGCCCCCCTGGATGTACAGCATCCTTAGCATTAGCCTATGGTGCCTATGCCACGGGCCGGCCCTGAGTTGGCTGAGTGTTGTAAATACCGGCACTCACCTCCCTCTTAATGGAGTGCATAGGAGATAAATGACGTCAGTACATAATAACCGGTTATGATTATTACTGAACCGATACAGAATTCGCGGTGCACCGAAGAAACAATTAATTTTGACACCCCTACTTATTATGGTGGGCATATCCCTTATTTTCACATACCAATGTTGACAGGTATGTTCTAACGATTATGAAAAACATTAATGGAGATAAACTACTATTGCATTATATACCACCCCCTTTCCAGTTGTACAAATTTGTTGCTCTCCAAAGCACAGTTTCATGTCAAGATGACTAAAAGCGTGCTGTAATGTACCTTTTGCGGCACGGGATGCGCATCATTCATTTATTTATTTACATTCGAATCATTCATGTTTTTTTTAAAGCGTGAAAGAGCGCATGCAGTTGTGTGTGTTATTGCTCAGAGACGAGCAATAAAAAATAACAACACCAATCTGCTTATTTAGAAAACAAATAATATAGCACTAATATAATAAAAGTTGCATGGTTTGAGGTGTTATTTGGGTTTTTAGCACAGCGTTGGGTTTGTTCAAATCACTAATCTCAAGTGCATACAAGACAGAAGCTAATGGCCCTGTGCAAATGTAAAGTTCCTTTTATGAAATCAAGCAACCATAATCTTGACCCACCTAGTCTACAATTAGTGATGTAAAATGAGCTCCAACATGACAGCAAGCAAGATTGAAATTAGCGTCTGAACTCAATAAAAAAGGGCAACACTTCAGTCGTGTATTATGTGCTTGGCTGAACCTCGAATATGCCAAACAGTAATACAGAGACAAATGCAGCATAATGGATTTTTCAGTGTTCTAAATGCTTATGTCTGGACTATACACACATAATAATATAAAAAAGAATCAGCTCGAGATGCCGGGAAGTAAACACACTAGATGAAGGATTCTCAAAAAGCATCCACAAGGGAATCTCACAAACACCTTGCAGTCCCTTTATAATGGAAAATATATGGAAATATATTGAAAACCTTACATTTCAGGCATAAAGAAAATTGGTACAGTTCTTTTGTTGAGATAGACGCATGCTCCTATATTTGCAGTTGCTTTCTTAATAACACACAATACATTGTGCACAGCACTATTTAACCCTCAAGCTTCCTTTCGGGCAGTTTTCACTTCATTTAGACTTTTTCAAAATAGCTCCCTTTATCTGAGCAGTTCAAGAATTGGCAAGACTTGTGAACACACACAAAAAGTTGACTCAAATCAACAATGTTAAGCGGTTGAAAAAACAACCAACCAAACAAACAAACAAACAAACATTAATCTTTCCCTTCTTGCCCAAAAATGTCCACCCATAAAAAATGAATAGAAAATACTTTAATCTAAGAGTGTTTTCACACCTGCCTTATTTAGTTCGGTTGAATCGCACTAGAGTTCGTTTTTCCTCTTGGTGTGTTTTTTTGGGAAGGTGTGAATGCAGCAATCACACTGGAGTGCGCACCAAAAGTGTACCATAAAAAGCTTACCAAGACCCCCTTGTAGAGGTGGTCTTGATACACTTTTAAACGAACCCTGAAGCAATTCGTTTGTGGTGAGAACATGATCCGAGCTAAAACAGACCCAATCAGCAAAAATCACTGGCCTTTTTGGACTAATGCGTTTACACCAGATGCGGAAGAAGCGTCAAGTGCGAGTGATTTACATGTTAAATCAATGCAAAGATGCAAATAGACATCCTGTGGCGCGATACGCGCGAATGAAGCGCCGTGGGTTGAGCGTTTTGCGCGATTGACATGCTTAACGTGCGTTTCGCACGAATCGCTCAAGTTAGAAAATCTGAACTTCATTGGACATTCACATCGTGTTAACCAATCAGGAGCTTGCTCTTCTAGGGGCCTGCTTATGACGTAGCACCTGTTGTTAGTGTCCCAGGGGGAAATCCTTCAGCCGACACCGGGATCAAACTAGGCTCGGCTCAGTCGGAAGCACCGCTGAAAGCCTCCATTATCCAGGTTAAGTTTCTGGAAAGTTTATGAACTCACAGAGCTGGGTGCACCTCTGAAAGGATCTAGTGGACTCAGACATGGCTCCAAATGAATCGAAGCAGTTTTTGAGCCTTCATAAAGCACATAAACAGTTATTTTCTCAATGAAATCCATGTTAGCTATTTAGATATAAAGCTACAGTCATTGGGCAGACAGAAGCCCCGCCTAATAGGCGAATCCGCGTCATTTGCTCAGTAAATTTGACGCACGAATGAAGAGAGTAAACACAAAATGTTCACACGTCTATTTACACGCGCATATCGCGATTTATCCGCACGTCCCATGTCTGGTGTGAACACAGCATAATCCAGCTGCCGTAGTCCGATGCGCTGTCCCATCTTATGAGGTATGAAGGAAAAATATTTGTTGACAGTGCTTAACGTTAGAGTAGTTTAAGACGCTCAGTACATTGAAGATGTTTCTTTTCATGCTTTTCTTTTGATAGTTAGTTTAGTTTGTTTAATACAGTTAGTATGTTTTCTTATAGGGCTGGGCGATAAAAAAATTGTATCAATATGTATTGACAGGAAACCATTATCAATATCGATTAAAAATAAAAGATTCGGTATGAAGTTTCGGCATGAAGGCTATAGTTTTATGAAAATGTGACTGCTGAGCGCGAGCCTTGGAAGAAATGCCAATAATCTAAAGGTGTAAGCTTGTCATTTCAAATGGAGGCGTGCGAGTTGCACGATGTGCACATTGGCACAATTGGAGCGACGTGCACATGTTGTGGTCGCCTAGTTATGTGGCTTTTTGGTTTCTTTTCTTGTGCATCCCAGCCACTAGCACCCCATATGAAAGATATTTTTAGTTTGGGGCTAATATAGTCATTCAGCTTCACAATTTGTAATGTTGGTATGTGTATTTGAATAATGAAGCTCAGATTTGATTATCATAATTAGTTTTGTTTACAGACTTTGAGGTTTACTGTATCATTATTATTCACACTGTACAGATGTTGATCTAACTTAAAGTTTGTTTTGATATATTTTTTTTTTGCAATATTACCCAGCCCTATTTTATTATACTCCTTTGTTTGATTTAAGCACCTTTAATTACCTCCTACCTCCAACTTAAATTATCATTTATTTATTATATATATATTTTTTTCTTTTACTGTACAATATTTTCACTGATAGTAAGGGCAATAAATAATCAATTGCAGTGATATTTGTTTTTCATTTATTCATTTATACATCTCCATCCATTGGTCATACACACACTAAACTATTATGCTATGTCAAAATGCCCTTAGTTTATTATTAGCAAGTAAAAGGACATAACAAAATGTATGTCTTTGAATCCAACTCCATAATTTAACCCATAGGAATTAATTGGGTAATAATTAATTGAAAAGCATTTTTTAATTTGTACTTTGAGGTGGATATACATTTAAATTGTATTCATAAATAGATAGATACTATTTTTTAACAATTGCTTAAAAAATAAAATTGGGTTCACACTAAAGACCTTTGTGCTCCAAAATGTCCACAAGGAAAAGATTAAGGGTTGCAGTATGGTATGCCAGAGGGTTAAACAAATACTCTAACATTAAAAAACAAATAACTCAAGTTCTGGCACATTACCTGGTGAAATATCCAAGAAAAGAGACTTCCAGATCGTATACTGTAAGGGCCCCATGTACTTGGATGTGGGGAAGTCTTCATAGGTGAGGTTGGTTTCGTGGATTTTTCCCTTTATTCTGTGGAGATACAGGACAACAATTGCATTATTCAAATTCAACATTGGCAACCCACCAAACCCAAGCAAAGGAATCCTCAGAGTCTAGATCCTGTTTCCAAACACTCGTTTTTAGGGTTTTCTACATAGCTGTGCCGGCCCTGCAAAGTCAAACAGCTCAAATTCACCATTGGGAGTGAGGTCAATCTGGGCAACGCTGCAGATCACTTTCATTAGTTCAACCCCAGCATTAATCATGCAAGTCCTTTTCCCATATGGCTAACTCATTCCCTGCTCATCATTGCCAAACGCCTGCTAACACACCCATTCAGAATTGCAGATCTCTCAGAAAGGCTTAACGTCAACATAAAACAACATAAATCTTTTCTTCCCTATTGTAACACTTTCCAAACTAGAAACAGCTTCTCCGAAAGTGTAGGGTGGAGCTTGATTTGGTCCATGTGAAACTGATTTGGATGGTTGTTGTTTGCTATTGATGGATCTCATGCATTGGTTTAGGGATGCTCATTGTGGTTAATTTTGCCAACCGTCTGCCGCTCATTAACTGAATATTAACCGTTATCTAGTCAGATTAATAATAATTATTTGATTAAAAAAATAATAATTGACAAGTCTATTTTGTGTCTGACGCATTAAATACTGAATTTAAAATACACATTTATTTTAACATGCGAACATATTAACAACAGAACATCTTCACGCACCTGCAGTGTTTCCAACATCATAGAAATAAAGAATAAATTAAATAAAAAGAATGAAATAAGCCGGCCTGCCCTATATATCACTGAAATGACCAATTTAGATTACAAAATGAAAACACTGACTGAATCCTTTTTAAGAACCGGCATAGGCTGTTTTTTTCCATCATGTGTTTTTTTTCATCCGTTGAATAAAAATTGCAGGCTATTTTTTCCAAATTAATCGCTCCATGGAAAATATGCATTTAATTAATGCTCCGCTGTTATTCTTATATCGTAAACCTCTGTCAAAATTTTAATAAAGGTTGTTATTTTAAAGATTATGTCTTGACCGTCTGGTTTACCTTTGAGCTTGTGAGCTTTTATTTCCTCTGTTTCACTCTTGATAAAAGTGCACTCACTGTGTGTGATTAAAGGCAATGACAAGGCGCATATATTGCATTTTAGTAAAGTATAGGCTACTATAGCACATAACAATGTTGTTATTTACATATGATATTGCATTAATATGCAAGCATGTTTTATAAGCTATAAAATGAAAGCGTCAGTCTGGTGCACAGTTATCTTTATGCAAAAATCAAGAAAATCTGTGGATCTGTTTGACTTGTAGATTAGGCTAGTTTAAAAATGGATATTTTATAAGAACTATTAATAACTCTAATTTCCCAAATGGAAAAAGGTTGGTTTGTTGGTTGTACACTAAATCATTACAACTATAGCCTGTTCGTTGTGTTTATGAGCGGTGCTGGAGTGCGCTTTGATGGACAGAAAACCCAGATGATCTGACTTGTGGCCGCTTGTTTCAAAAGCAGCACACATTTCAGAAAGTTTTGCGCTTCTTTCTCCAATTGTGCAAATAAACAGAAGTGTTTATGACCATATCCAGGACAGAGGCGATCAGTATCAGCTCTGGTTTGGCATCAACTCGTCTGTGTCAAACTGTGACCAGCAATATTCTTCTTTCATTTTGCTTCTTTGGCAAAATATGTTTGTAGGCGCGTGTGGTTGCACGCTTTACCACCCTGCGAGTTAACAAATATGTATTGCACATTTATGCAGCCAAACTTTTTGATTTTTTAATCGTTTAACTGATAAACATGATCAGTTAAAAACGCACCCTTTCGTTTAACGGTGAAACGCTTATTATGAGCATTCCTAAATTGGTTCCTGCCACCAATCAGAGGGAAGATATTGTAAAAGAGGGAGGGCGTAGGTATTTTCAATAAAGATTATAAAGGCACATACAATAGAAAAAGATGTGCATTGATAAATCATAAATAAGACAACACAACAAAGTCATTTTTTAAATAATTCAATATTTTCACTTAGCAAAGATGCATTAAATTGATCAAAATGATTTAGCAAAAGTTTTTTTTTTATTTCAAATAAATGCTTTCTTTTTTAACATAATTCATAAAATACTCTCAAAGAAAATGCATAAAGTTTTAAAATAAATAAATAATCAGCAAAACTATTTTCATTTGATAATTTTCATCTCATAATAAGCACTGAACACTACAGACTTATATTTTGCTGGATATTCAGAAAAGTCAGCTTTGCATCAAAGAATTAATATATTAAATATAACACAATTATTGGAAATTGTAATAATATTGCATGGAATATTACTGTTTTTTTGTACTTTTGATCAAATAAATGCAGCATGGCCAAACAAAAGTATTTATTTCTTTAAAAAAATTAAATATATAAAAATGAAAAAAAAAAAGTCATGCTTAATCCACCGCTCAACTAACCTTAACCTACAGTAGTCTATTCTGCAGTCATCTTTCTAACTGGCCTCTTGTGTCATATGGCAAAGGGTAATGGTCACATACATAAGTCAAATAACCTGACTTGCCTTGGTAGCTTCCACCAGCAATACCCTCCACGAATCACTTGCTCCCTGACCAGCAGTTACAAGAAAAAAGACAAAACGTTTTTAGACCAGAGAATCTCAAACTACCACACAAAACACCCTGCACATACATACGCTCATCTCCGGGTCACACGGCTTTTTTAGTACCTGTCCGACGTCAGGGCGATTCCCTCCAGGAATTCGTGACGGCTAGTTTCACTGAGTCGCTCCTGCAGGATCTGGATGCCCTCTTTAACGTCGCGGAGCTGCTGGCTGTAGCGCTGGATCTTGTGTTCAATGTCAGTGAGTGTTCGCGCCGTATCCGCCTCCAGTTCCTCTAGCATGCTCTTCTGCCGCTCCCGGAGAAAACGCTGAAGTCGCTCAAATGCCTCGCCAATCGTGGCACGAAGACTCTTTGCTGATGACTGGAAAGCAGAAAGGAAAAGGTCCTATGAAGTAAAATAACTTTTTTGTAGATGTAATGTCACTTTTTAGGATACTGCAAGACATTTGTCTGCCTCAACTTCCACTCTAAATGGTGTGTCGATGCTCATTTCCCAAAAGGGCTGATCAAAGAAGACAAGTCAACAATTTATTCTCTCTGCATTATTGGAGATGATCACATCTAGAGCAAATAGTTATCAATTGTAATGTAATGTGCATATATATGACACATTTATTGGCACAATCAAGGGGTGAGGGAGGGGGGGGGGGGGGACTCTCCACACTACCACCAGTGTGCAGCATCAACTTGGATGATCAGTGACCAGTGCGCTTACCACCTACCAGCTATTGGGGGAGTGGAGAGACAGTAATAGAGCCAATTTGGTGTAGGGGTGAGATTGGGAGGCCATGATCGGTAAGGGACGATGAAAGGAATTAGGCCAGCACACCGAGGTTACACCCCTACTCTTTCCGAGAAGTGCCATGGGATTTGGAATGACCACAGAGAGTCAGGACATCGGTTTAACGTCTTACCCGGAAGACAGCATTCACTGACAGTATGGTGTCCCTAAAGCCTGGTTTATACTTCTGCGTCAAGTAATCGGCGTAACCATTAGCGCATGCAACGCGCATAGCTGTGCATTTATACTTCTGCGTGCTGTCTCTGTTGGTCTCCATTAACACTTCCGAAACGCTAGTTGGCAGTGAGGTGTAAATGTTCCTCTGTGTCGAGTTTCTTCACTGCTGTTTTGCTTTTCCTGAACACTTCCGGGATATACAAGTGGCTCAAACTCGCTCATTTTGAGGCAGGAACCGCCGGATGTGCAACAACTTTAACTATGAGGTAAACACAAAACAAAACTTTCCATCCGGAGCTCCTTCACGGGACTCCACACTTGTAAACAATCGCTCCATTGGGCTCGCACCCAGCTCGCGCTTTTCGCGCGGCTCTCGGTCCCGCCCAGACTCGTCAGCGCTACCAAGCCGACCAATCACAGAGCTTGCGCTACGCGTCGTTGTGACATGTAGTTACATTTTTTGAGAGGTGCACGTCAGTGACGACGACGCCCACGGTGAAGGGCTATGCGTCAGCGCCGTAGCATACACGTGCGTTTGACGCAGAAGTATAAATTAGCCTTAAGGCATAAGGACTCATTGTAGAATGAGAATGGGTGTGGACACAGAACCATCTCATACAATGGGGTGGAAACTGCGTTAACATACAGAAAACAACTGTGGCTACAGGCAGGAAGCAACTTCATTAACATCTAAATGCAGCAAATTAAAACTGTATAAAAGGTTTGTGTTTAAAAATGTTGAGGTTCATCCCGACTCCACTGAACCCAGGGTACTGCCGTGTACTTTAAGAGTGATATGCTGAATAAACACCTTCATTGAGATCTTCTACGTCTTCTATGTAATATCTATAAGCTAGTGTGTTTCAAAACGGTGACAAAATTTGTGTTAAGAGGATATGACAACATTTATACATTTTTTATTCTGTTTAACAGAGATTTTTACAGCACATTTTAAACAAAATATAGGTAAATATCAAAATATCAGGTAAATCTCTAATACCTGATTTATTTTATCTTTGTCATGATGACAGTAAATAATATTTGACTAAATACTTTTCAAGACGCTTCTATACAGCTTAAAGTGACATTTAAAGGCTTCACTAGGTTAATTAGGTTAACTAGGCAGGTTAGGGTAATTAAGCAAGTTATTGTATAACAATGGTTTGTTCTGTAGGCTATAGAAAAAAATATAGCTTAAAGGGGCTAATAATATTGACCTTAAAAATGTTTTTAAAAAAATTTTAAACTGCTTTTTTTCTAGCCGAAATTAAACAAATAAGACTTTTTCCAGAAGAAAAATATTATCAGACATACTGTGAAAATTTCCTTGCTCTGTTAAAAAAAAAATATATATATATATATATATGTATTTCCCAATTTCTGTTTAACTGAGTTTAATCATGCCAACATCTACATTATCAGGATGATGAAGATGAACCATGGTGGATTTAAGCAAAACAATGATCTCAAACACAGCCAAGGAAACTCTCAAATGCTTTCAGTGAAAGAAAATCAAGCTGTAGAATGGCCCAGCCAATCACCTGACTCAAATCCAATAGAAAATACAAATTAAGATCAGATTTGATAGACGAGACGCACAGAACCATCAAGAATTTGACACTCTGTTGAAGTCTGTGAAAAACTCACACCTGAGCAATGCATGTGACTTCATTCTCAATATGAGAGGCATCTTTAAGCTGCCGCAACCAAAAAAAGCCTTTTATAAAGTATTAAACGCATTTCAGTAGTGCATTGCTTTCTCCTTTTGTCATTCCATCGTTAATACACAGAACTCATTTCTCAGATTGTTTTTGTTTTATTTTTATGTTTGTGTTGTTCAGGTTTTTACCAAAATTTGGTTAAAGTCCATGTCAACAGCTCCTTTAGAAATATTATTCCAAGAAAAAAACGTGACATGTTCACTTATTTTCCCTGCTGTATATATATATTTAAAAATATATAACAAAAATATATTGTCAGACACATGAGTCATACAATACATTGCTTTGATTTTAAAATACTATCACTATCACTATTACTATCATTAAAAAAATATATGCAGGGCCACAGTGGGACGTAGAGGACTATCATTAATTGTGAAAAAAATGCCTCAGACACATTGATGAGGAATAATAGTCACTGTAAATGGCGGCAGGCTGCTTCTTTCTCAAACGTTATTGAAGGACAGCTTCCATTGAAAGTAGATGATTACACATGCAACCGTGCAGATGAGCATCTAGACAGAAAAGAGAACTGCAAATCTAGCCAACAAACCTCTCCACGGACCACAAAGGAAAATAAAAGTGGAAAGCAGGAGAAACTGAGGAAGCCGATCATCTCTATTAAAGTGTAAAGAACATCAGTTACAGTCGACGGATCAAAGATCTGAAACCTCAAGGTCGACTCAGAAGCCCGATGGCCATACATACAAACAAGGCAAGCTCAAAAACGTACTTTCTTCGCCTATAACAAGAGCTAAACAAGAAAAACCACAGACTTCAGCCAATACAAGATTACTCCTATAACAAATGAAATAAAGGACTTGTTCCACTTCTGTCTTTGCGAAAGGAAAATGTGATTTCTTTGCCACTGGGAAAGATGAAATCCTATTAAGATCTCGTCTCTCTCTGGCGTCATTTGCATGGGCAGAATCAGCCCACCTGGTGTCGCCTGATGGATGATTGGGGTTTAGTGATGCTGAAGTGCTGCTGGTCTCCCCATGGGCCACTGTCTCGGATGGGGTCTATTTAAAGCCAGTAAACACGTCCCGTGAGCTTAGCGAGACGCTGGCCTCCCAGCAGCTTGTTCTCGACGACATCTGCTAATCAGACACATCTTTCCTTGGGGTCTTTCATTCAAATTCGACAGCGGCTCTTGAGACGAGGGGGTCTGTCAGCAAGCCTGCTGCTGAGCTAAATCTAGTGCGTGCTAGCAGGAGGTGGCAACAATTTAAAAACCAACCAGGCTTATATGAGCTAGATGCATGGCTGACACGCTAAAGCTACATTTTTAGGTTTAGCAGTTGTTTGAATCACTCAGCGTAGCTGTATTAGCAGTCAATTTGTAATGAGTAGTAGCTTGTAATTAATTGAGAATGCATTGAATTGACCAATAATGGTGTAGCTTTTAATAAATAATGTTCTTTTGAACTGTGCGTTTGTTTAAAAATCCATATGCATCGGTTTACCAAATAAACATGATGCAGGACAACTGTTATGAATGATAAAATGTTTCTGAACTCTTTCTCTGCCGGCATTTTTGAAAAAGTTGTCAGTCACCGACAACATTTAAAAAAAAGTTTTACCTAGATTTGATTTTTCCTCATGATGTTTTATTATAATGTACACTCATGGCCACTTTATTAGGTACACCGTACTGGGTTGGACCCCCTTTTGCCTTTAGAAGCCCATAATCATTCATATCCTTAATCCTGGCATGGATTGGACAAGGCACTGGAATTATTCCTCAGAGATTTTGCTCCATATTGACATGACAGCTAAGGTTGTAACGGTATGAATTTTTTACGGTATGATAATAGTCTAAAACAATACCACGGTTTGACGGTTTCGCGGTATACGGTATGTTACAAATGTTACAAAATAATAGAACAGTGAAGCAAATTTGACTTTTTCCAAATAATATATTTTCAGTTACTATAAACAACACCACTTACAATGAACAAATAAAAAAATAAGAAAATAATAAATAATGTGTCAAAGTCCAAATAAAGTCCAAATAAACATGGTGCAAATCCTCAGTAAATAGATATAAATATTTACTATACTATAAATAGTTACATAACGAAACTAGATTCAATATGGAACATCCTTAGGTTTTATGTGCCAGCATGGATATGGTTGTCTGTGGATATGGATTTGGATGTGGTTGTATGCAATGCAGACAAACAGCTGCACCTTCATTTGTGTCTTTTGAAAACAGCAAGAGCAGCAGTTCGTCTTTGCTGTGTCACTGTTTTGTCATGTTTCTGTGCTGCTGTCCATGCAAAAGTACTTAGTATGAGAATTATTTCATGCAAAACTTTTTTTTTTTGCGTTTTATTTAGCCACGCATAAATGTATGCCTATCTCTCATTCCGTGTTGTTCAAAAAGCTCATTGTTTGGTCCACAAACAAAAGCGAAACCTATGCTTATTGGTTGTGATATAGCGAGTTTGAACCAATCTGGGCATGGAGGAGGGACATTGCATCAATGTATCATGTCTGGTTTGTCCGGAGACACAGTGACGAGCGTTTCTTTGTCAAATCAGCGTGGTCAAATTTTGATGACGTAACCGCACTGATTCCGGAGCCTCTGAAAGTCCGCGAATGTTATGTGATACAGCACTGGAAAGCTGAGATTCTCTTCTTCATGCCAATCTTTGAATTGTATGAATCGGATCAGCG